GTTGCAACATTTAATTAAAATTATTTAAAATTAAAAACACTTTTTCTTCAATGATTTATTTTTTGAAAAAAAAAAAGTAAATGTTACTAGAAAATTCATGTTCATCCAATTCCCCTGTACTCCACGCCAGACCAAATGTAAATAGTTAACAGAGTGAGTTTTCGTAACATAATGCGTTCGAATCAAAGGCAGTGGCGAAGTATATATGTCAAGATTATGCACGTACGCTAATGAATTCAGAAAATCAAACTCTACAAGATTTTCTAAATTATATTTTTATTTAGGAGCGAGGGAAATTCTGTCGAAAAAAAGTTGTATAAACTAAATTACTAGGCATAATAAAAACCAATTAAATTTTATAAAATAACATATTCCTATACTTGTGGTCCATGAATCTGCTTTGAGTTATCACGTTGGCATCTAGATTTGCGCACATACGAAAACGCAGATTCTGGGTTCTATCGCCTTATCCCGATTTTTTGCGCTATATATTTTTTTAACTTGTCATAAAAAATCAAATTTGATAATTTTTTGGACAAGCGGAATTTGTTGTACTGTAATTCATGGGCGAGCAAACTTCTGTCTAAATAATTCAGACAAATTTTTGGTTTTTCTTATATACAGGGTGGAAAGAAAAAAAAGTAAAAATAAAAGATTGTCCTGTTTTTCAGTCGTATCATTCAACTTAATATTTTTAAATAGACCATGTTTTATATCTTGGCTTTATAACTATGCTTTAGTTTGATGCGATGTTGCCACGTTATTCCAGTTTTCCTAAATTTTTTTAGCAACGCTAGAGTTTATTAAAAAAATCTCAATCGGATCCGTCTGCTTTGTTGTGGTATTAATTAAACTAAAATTTAATACACCGAGTATTTATAAAAATCTAAAACTTTCCAATTCTCAAATGTCGATATTTCACGTTTTTCAAATATAACACCCTGTATTCTATCACTGCAATTTAATCCATTTTTTGTTTTCTTTGTTTCGATATGTCGTTGTGTCTTGTAAAAACTAGAGAAACTATTAACTATAGATATAGAAAATACTTAACAAAAAAAAAAAAAAATTAGGGTGAAAACTGAAATATTGATATTTGAATGTTGTAAAGTTTCCGATTTTTTACAAACCCTCTATATATTAAAATTTTATGTAATGGATACCACAATGAAACATAAACCTCTGACATCTCTCTATAAAATATTGGAACACAGATCTTAAAAGTAACATTACTTAAAAAAATCAGGAATATTGGCAACGTCGCATTGGATTTTCGAAAATATCGTATAATCTAGAGAGAGGCGGATGGGAATATGTAAAAATCTATAGTGTGTTCTATTAAAAAAAAAACTAAGTTATATGCTATGCTTCAAAAACGAAACACTCTGTATTTTTCTATTTCTAATGATTAATGAAATATCGACGACCGAAGGCATAGTAACTCACCCTGTATATAACAGGTTTGCAATTTTCAGTAGAATTCACTTTGGAAACATCGTATTTTCTTAAGTTATTTTTGCATTAAATATGAGTCAGTTTTTCTGAAGTTTTTGTTTTTGTTTTTTTATATTTCTGCTATTTTGAATAAATTTCATAGTTACCTATTACTATTTTTTTTCTTCTTTTAAAATATTGTACACTAAATATATGACATTTTCGTTTCAAAATACAAAATACAGGGTGAGTCACTGAGAGTCCGTTGTTCGATATTTCATTAATTATTATTAGAAACAGAAAAAAGTCAACGACCAAAGTTGCACTACATACTGTTTTCTTTTTAAGACGCAACACACAACTTAGTTTTTTAAATAAATAAATAAAACACCCTATATATCTTAATTTTCTTGAAATTCGAATAACTAGGATTATTTTTAAAATCTGTGTTACAACATTTTGTACAGAGATAAAGAAAAGTATGCGCTTTGTTGTGGTATAAATCAAATTAATTTTTCACATACAGAGTGTTTATAAAAAATGTTTTATTTAATTACTATAGGTTTTAAATTTCGATATTTCGGTTTTTTCAATTAATAGAATACCCTATATTTGATTGCTGCATCTCATTTTATTTTTTATTTAGGACAAAAGATAGAGAAATAAAATACAGAGTGTTCCCTGAAAAATCGATATTTGAAAATTGTTAAGTTTTATTTTTATAAACACTCTGTATATTAAAATTTTATGTAATGGATACCACAATGTATTGTAATGTAAATCTTAAATGTAACATTACTTAAAAAATTCAGGAAAATTGGAAAAACGTGGCAACGTAGCATTGGCATTTCGGAAATAAATTTGGTCATATAACCTAGATAGAAGCTAATAAGGATATGTAAAAAGATATAGGGTGTTCTATTTAAAAAACTAAGTTATGTGCTATACTTCAAAAATGAAACACTCAGTATAGTCTATTTTTCAAATTAGGATTCGACGTTGCCATTTTCTTGAAATTTTTTGTAAATGGAAGTGATCACAAAAATTCACAGCAGGGTTATTTTTAAAATCTGTTATGGTATAAATGAAAAAAATAGAGAAATAAAATACAGGGTGTTCCATTTGAAAAAACTGAAACATCGATATTTGAAACGTGTAAAGTATAAGATATAATATATATAAAAGATACCAATGAAGCATCAACCTCTGACATCTCTCCATGAAATATTGTAACCCAAATCTTAAAAATACCATTACTTAAAAAATGTAAGGAAATTGAAAAAAGGTGGCAACGTCGCATTTGCATTTCGGAAATAAATTTGATCATATAAATTAGGGAGAGACTAATGAGAATATATAAAAAGATATAGGGTGTTCTATTTAAAAAAAACGTAGTATGTGCTATGCCTCAAAAACGGAACACTCTGTATAGTTGAAAATAATTTTAATATACGCTACTCAAAAAGCGTACACTGAGTTATGGTTTTTTCTAATTCTAATAAGATATTGACGACCTCACGCTTAATGACTCACCGTGTATATAACAGATTTGCAATACTGAGTAGAAGTCTACTTGAAAAAGTTTTTTTTTTAATATTTGTTCTATTTTGAATCAATTTCATAATTACTTATTACTATTTTTTCCTCTTTTATAATATGTGTATACTAAATATGACATTTTCGTTTCAAAATGCAATACAATATACAGGGTGAGTCACTAAGCGGCGTTTCTCGATATCTCATTACATATTAGAAATAGAAAAAAATCGATGACCAAAGTTGTACTACAGAGTGTTTTGTTTACTTACTTTTTGAAAATAAAACACCCTATATATCTTTACATATTTTGATTGACTTCAACTTCGGCTATAAAACCGTAGTCTATGTTTAAGATTAGAATTCGACGTTGCCTCGTTATCCCAATTTTCTTGAAATTTTTTGGTAATGGAAGTGATCACAAAAAAAATCACAATAGGGTTATTTTTAAAATCCGTGTCACAAAATTTTGTAGAGATATAAAGAAAAGTGCGCGCTTTATTGTGGTATAAATGAGATTAAATTTTCGTATACAGAGTGTTTATAAAAAAAAAATTATTATTACAAGTTTCAAATATCGCAATTTCAGTTTTTTCAATTAGAACACCCTAGATTTTGTGACTGCATCGTATTCTACGTTTTATTGTTGAAGAATGAAGACTAAAAATAAACTAAGATACAGTAATAAAATACAGGGTGTTCCATTTGAAAAAACTGAAACATCGATATTTGACAACGTCGCATCGGAATTTCAAAAGTAAGCTGTGGTTGTAACGATTAAGAAAAGGTCAATCAAAATAGTAAAAATATATAGACGTTTCAATTAAAAAACTACGTCGTGATACGCCTTGAAAATGGAACACTCTGTATAGTTAAAAATAATTTAAGAGAATTAAAGAATCAGATATGAAATAATAACTAAATTTTGTTTCTAAAAGCCAACCCATTCAAATTTTGTATACATATATTTTATATTATATACTGTGTATATTCTGGATCTGTGATATTTGGTGGAAGAATTCGACTTTAAAACGACTATATTTTCTTAAGTTATAATGACCTTTGCATAAGCTTTTCTGGAACTTTCGGTGTTTTTTTTATAATATCAAAAGTTTTTAAATTTGTTTGTAAAAGTCAACCTATCCAAAAAAGCCCTTTGCGTTGTCCATGAATTAATTAAATTCTCGTTATTAATTCTTTATTAGATTATTTCCTTATTGCTTACGAACTTGAGACAAAGTTTCACGGAAAACTCTGGGTAAATATAAATTGAAAACTCCTTTTTTAATAAAATAAAAATTGTTATTGTCATTGTTGAAACTTAAGCTGGAATTTGTTCGAAAATTTGTTAAATAAATAAAACGCAATTTAAGATCCGCATTGGAAAAATACAACGTTATTTTAAATTCTCCAACAAATTATAAACCACTGAAAATACGTTGTTTTTAAAAAACATAATCAGCTCGAAGCAAAATTTAATACAACTTTCAGAAAAAGTTTATGAAACGATGAAAGCAACTTCGAATGTTTAAATTTTCCTCAATTGCTTTTACTAAGAACGCGTTGAAAATTACCAGCGGGACCTTTTGTGGGATCTTTCATAATTTATGCATAGGGTTAAGGGGGCTCCAAATATCCTCCTAATCCAAACAGAGCTCCAACCCAAGTATTTAATAATTCCGCGAAATTCCCCAAAATTCCATTTTCATTTCACTTATGAATTTTTGAACACAGGAGTCCGCATGCAAAAGTTTGTCGCAAAAATCGTGCCACCTTTCCCCATTCGAAATAAGACTCAAAGTAAATCCTCCCACCCGCCGCCACATCCAATTTTCTATTAATTTTTTCCTCGAAGCAAACAAGTCTGGCGTACGTGTGAAGTAGCTCACGTCCCGAAATGATTCTAATAGAAAACAACATCTCTGAATTAAAAATGAGCCAACGTGTTAGTTAGACTTTTTGATAGGACATCGCAAGGATAAAGGACGGCCAACGCAAGCGCACCCTCGTCGGCGCTAAAACTGATTGCCGAACTTAGCTATATAAAGGATAACGCGGGGTTATTATCATTCTTCAACTGGTGGTGTCTTCTCCAGCACAGGTGTCACCGGTGGCTGCAGACTCGACTCGTCCAAAGTAAGTCACTTTGTCAAAGACCAACTGTAATTTGTGTTGTTTTTGCCCGACGTTTAACCACTCGAGCGAATTTTCACCGGTTTTGTCTTTGTCGCCGAAAGGGTAAAGCCTTCTAAAAATAGGGGCTGGAAAGTAAATGTGTGTGTGGAACTTGAAAGAACCCGAATGAGGGGTTTTATTAGCAAAAATCGATTGGTTCGGGTTAATTTTGTGTGGCGATTTAGGGGTGGAGGATGTAAATTTTGCTACAACAAATTTTAATGACTAGTTTTTTTTTTTTTTGGTCGAACGAAATTTATTTTATTTGAATTATGAATGTAAATATGCTTGCATTGTGTTAGTGCTGAAAATGTTTGCTTAGTATAAATTCTTGAATGAAGTATCCTCTTTCCAATTGTTTTGTTTTGATTGCATATTCTTAAAAACAAACATTGGGTTGAAAATTGACTACGAATTTAAATTCTTGGGATAATGTGCGTGCAGCGAGATGGTTTTTCTGCTATTTACTTCCTGACTGCGGGGTTAATTATTCACGAGGGAAGACTTCATTTTGTTGTTTTATTAAAAGCTGAACTGTGGAGTTTTTTGTGACATGGTCACATTTTTCGAAATTTAAATTTATTTTTGACGAATTTTTCAAAAATTCATTGTTTACCGGAACGAAGTAATTTAATCATAAGTTTTCAGCTAGCGGGCAACCAATTAACTAAACAAATAAAGCGTCAACATTTATTAACATATGTAGAAAAATAATTGAAAATTGGCTATTTACTGTTCATCCAACGTCCCATCGATTAAGCAAATATTTATATTATATCAAAAATAAAAAATTCTTCCATTTAGTAATGATTAAAAAAAATATTACTAATAGTAAAATAGCCGAGGATTTGGGAAGAAAGTTTCATTTTGGCCTCTATTAATTACACAGCGAAAATTTGTGTAAAAGATGTGTTGTTGTTACTAAACTGAGAAAATTAATTGGTCTTAAAACGAAGCTTTTAATTAATCGCAGAGGGTTGTTTTCATGTTTTGGTATTAAATTTATAGGGATTTTATAAATTTTACGCTTTGCTTTATCATCACTGATCCGTTGAAATGATTATAAACGTATTATTGGATAATAAAATTTACATTACACATTTTACTTCACGTAAAAGAAAAAATACATCAAAATTAGTGTAAAAAATATACACAAAAAATAAATAGTGGTAAAAATCGCGAATAAAAGATTTTTTTCTTTCTATAAATGATATTAAATATCTCTGTACCTACTATGTATCTGTACCGATCTAAAAACAACTTCCCTAGTAGGCCGTGCAAATTATTTTTAAAATAATAAAGTGTGTAAAATACGAGGAGTGTTAAATTGTAATATTAGTAAAACTTTGACCTAAAATTATATGCAGACAACAAATAATTTATATTAAAACTCGCAAATAAAGATTTTTTCTTTCTATATATTTTTTTTAATATCTCTGTATCTACTATATATTCGAAAAATAACTCCTCTAGTAGGCCGTGCAATTTATTTTTAAAATAATTATGTTGGCATTGCAGCTATTTGACTTTTTATGTCAAACTCAACGAGGAACGCATTGGTGTTGCCAACATCATTATTTTAAAAATAAATTGTAAATTATCACTATTTCGGTTCATCCTATGTCATAATATTATTCCAAAATCTTTTCTATCTAGTTGGAAGAAAATGTAGAAATACATTTTTTTTTAAGATATTAAGATGGACAATGGGAATAAAAAATATTTAGTTGTCTGTATATTACAACAAATGTAAAACTGCACCCCATTGACTATCGCTCGATCGACTTCCAGGGGGTAAACGCTTAAATTATTTCACGACATATGAGGCAACTTATTGTCGAAATAAGTCTACACATACTAAGAAAAAGGGAAAAATGTAGATAAAAGTAATCACAATTGAGACAGGGTGGGTGGGCGGGGTTTATATTTTGCCTTTTTTTTTGTTAATATGTATACATAGTATTCTCTGAAAAACACGATGCTCATTTTTAATTTTTTGTAAAGAAATAAGTATTTTACAGTCAATCTTGACAATTTAAATTTAAATTTACAGTCAATCTTCGTCCCCTTGGTTGACGGCGAATAAAAGAAATCATTACAATTGAGTTAGGGGGGGTGGGTGGGCTTACATTTTGTCATTTTGTTTTAATATGTGTAGACTTCTTTTCATAACACGAAATATAAAACATGTTTAAAATGGAACATTTGTAAAAGGAAATATCGATTTTGCAATACATGCAAAATCTATGTTTCCTTTGGAAAAACCATTTTCACCATGTTTTAAGTTTCTTCTTATCAAAAGATAGTTGTGTATATTAAGAAAAAAAAGGCAAAATATAAGCCCCGCCCACCCACCCTATCTCGATTCTGATGATTTTTTTATTCGTCGTTAAGCTGAGGGGCGAAACTGAATTGTAAAATTCTTATTTTTTTACAAGAAATTACCATGTGAAATACGTTCTTAAGTAATCGTGTTATACGAAGAAAACTAAACGTATTAATTAAAAAAGAAAGCCAAAGATAAGCTCCACCCATCCGGCTCGATCTCAACCGTGATGAATTTTTCATTCGTTGTCAGACCGAGGGGCGGAGCGTAATTGCAAAATAGATATTTCCCTATACAAATTTACCATTTTAAATATGTTTTAAGTTTCTTGTACTGAAAAGATGACTACACATGTTAAGAAAGCAAGGCAAAATGTAGCCCCGCCCACCCCCCCTATCTCAATTGTGATGATTTTTTTAATTGCAAAATCCATATTTTCTTGAAAAAAAAAATACCATTTTAAACGTGTTTTAAGTTTATAAAAATTAAAAAACATTACAATTAAGATGGGGCCGGTGGAAGGGGTTTATATTTTGCCTTTTTTTCTTGATATGTACACATAGTATTCTATGAACAACACGATACTCATTTTTAATTTTTTGTAAAGAAACAAGTATTTTGCAGTTAATATTCGTTCCGTTGGTTGAGGGCGAATAAAAAAAATCATTACAATCGAGACAGGGCGGGTGGGCGGGCTTACATTTTGCCTTTTTGTTTTAATATCTGCAGACTTATTTTTACATCAAACTTAAAACATGTTTAAAATGGAAAATTTGTATAAGGAAATATAGATTTTGCAATAGGCTCCGTCCCATGCTTGCAAAATCTATGTTTTATTTGCAAAAACCATTTTAACCATGTTTTAAGTTGTTTGTTATGAAAAGATGGCTGTGTATATTAAGAAAAAAAAGGCAAAATATAAGCCCCGCCCACCCACCCTATCTCGATTCTGATGATTTTTTTTATTCGTTGTTAAGCTGAGGGGCGAAGCTGAATTGTAAAATTCTTGTTTTTCTACGAGAAATTACCATGTGACATACGTTCTTAAGTAATCGTGTTATACGAAGAAAACTAAATGTACGATCTCATCCTTGATGAATTTTTCATTTGTTGTCAGACCAATAGGCGGAGCGTAATTGTAAAATCGATATTTCCCTATACAAATTTATCATTTTAAACATGTTTCAAGTTTCCTGTTTGAAAAGATGACTACACATGTTAAGAAAGCAAGGCAAAATGTAAGCCCCGCCCACCCACCCTGTCTCGATTGTGATGATTTTTTTATTCGTTGTGAGCCAAGAAATAAAAAACATGTTCTTGAGGATCGTGTTATTCAAAGAGTACTATGTATACTAAGAAAAAAACTAAGCCAAAGATTAAGCCCCACCCATTCCTACCCTGATCTAAATAGTAATGCAGTTTTCATTCGTTGGTAGACCTAGAGGCGGAGCCTAATTGCAAAATCCATATTTCCTCACAAAAATTTATCATTTTAAACGTGTTTTAAGTTTCTAAGAATTAAAGAAAGATTACAATCGGGATGGGGTGGGTGGGCGGGGTATATATTTTGTCTTTTTTTCTTAATATGTACAGATAGTATTTTTTGAACAACACGATACTCATTTTAAATTTTTTGTAAAGAAATAAGTATTTTGCAATTAATATTAGTTCCGTTGGTTGACGGCGAATAAAAAAAATCATTACAATTGAGACAGGGTGGGTGGGCGGGGTTTATACTTTGTATGGTTTTTCTTAATATGTATACATAGTAATCTTTGAACAACACGATACTCATTTTTAATTTTTTGTAAAGAAATAAGTATTTTGCAGTTCATTTTCGTCCCCTTGGTTGACGGCGAATACAAAAAATCGTTACAATTGAGACAGGGCGGGTGGGCGGGCTCACATTTTATCTTTTTGTTTTAATACATGTGTGTAGACTTTTTTTCAGAACATGAAACTTAAAACATCTATTAAAATCTGTTTCCTTGCAAAAACCATTTTAACCATATTTTAAGTTTCTTGTTATGGAAAGATGGCTGTGTACATTAAGAAAAAAAAGGCAAAATATATGCCCCGCCCACCTGCCCTGTCCCAATTGTGATGATTTTTTTTTATTCATCGTAAACCTAGGGGCGGAGCTTAATTGTAAAATTGTTGTTTTTCTACGAGAAATTACCACGTGAATATGTTCTTAAGTAATCGTCTTGTACAAAGAAAACTAAATGTATTGATCAAAAAAGGAAAACCAAAAGAGAAGTTTCTGGTTGCGAAAAGATGACTGCACATATTAAGAAAACAAGGAAGAATGTAAGCCCCGCCCACCCGCCCTGTCTCAATTGTGATGAATTTTTCATTCGGTGTCAGACCGAGGGGCGGAGCCTAATTGCAAAATCGATACTTTCCTACAAAAATTGATCATTTTAAACATGTTTTACAGCTCTTTAAAATATGAGCGTTGTGGTGAGCAGGTGATTAAATGGCTTAATACTAGTGGACCTCATTACTACTTCAGTGGATTTTGGGTCTCCCGTCTCGATCTTTTTTGTATGTTTTTATGATCATGATTATAAACGTATTATTAAATAGTAAAAATCTGCACTTCAAGTTCAGATCAGTTAGGAGGGTTAAATTG